ATATATCTTATTTTTTTCATTTAATATTCTTTACTTGGACTTAAGGAATAGATGCTCTACATAAAAAATATATCAATACGAATCTTGAGGATATCTAATGGATGAAAAGAAGCATAGTCAAAGAAGATCCGCTGAGGGTAAAAAACAGGGCACGTGAGCCTGCAAGGCCCATTGCGTTACGTCTTCCTCAAAGCAGGATCTAAAATCGATCGACAGATCGAAGAAGGACCGACCAACAAGGCCGACCAAGCGAAGATTTGGGCGACCGATAAAAAGTTCAAGTTGACTGTCAAAGTTTTGAGAAAAATAGACTAAATTCTGAAAAAGTTCAATGTCTTTTCACTTTGCTTTCATTCTATTAAATAATAATCTTACAATCTATTTTAAGTACAAAATATTCTATATAATATATTTTAGATAACTTAGTAATATATATTCCTAATTTAAATATTCAGCTATAGGGGAAATGAATCAGAATAAATATATTGGAAATAATTTAAATAAGGAAGCTCCTAATTATAGAAAACTCCTAATTGAACTGTCTGGTTTCCGTCATTCCTGATTGACATCCCCCCTCAAATTGATGCGAACTGATCAAAAAATAAAATTGATAAAATTGTCAGGACTAAAAATCCTCAAGCAATGAGTGTCGAAGCTGAAAGTGTCAAAGCCTGAGAGTGTCGAAGCCCGAGAGTGTTGAAGCCCGAGAGTGCCGAAGACCGAGTGTCGAAACCCCAGGGTGTCGAAGCCTAAGATCTATGGTTTGTCGAAGTCGAAGCTTAAGCAGACAAAGCGAAGAGTAAGAAGCAGTCGAAAATGTCGTAGAAGCAATGATGGCTAGCGAAGGAGATCCGAAGAGGACGAAGTGAACGAGATCGCAGATTACGGATGAGACTTGAATCAATGATGAGATAACAAATGAGCAGGATCACAGATCGAAGCTGGAATCAAGCGCGGGAGACGAAACCAGACTCAGGAGATGGAAGAAGGCAAACGAGGCAGTCGCAACAGACGAAAACCCTTAGATGGGCGAATCAAGGCAAAGAAATAGTTCTCCCCTTCCGGTAAGAAGGCCGACTGGAAGGGAGCCTTGACGGTCCTCAATAGCTACTAATTGTTAGGGCAAAATTTTAGCTCTAATACCATGTCAAAATTTTGAGAAAAATATGTTGAATTCTGAATAGACTCGATGTCTTTTCCCTTTGCTTTCATTCCATTAAACAATAATCTTACAATCTATTTTAGATACAAAATATTCTGTATAATCTATTTTAGGTAACTTAATAATATATATTCCTAATCAAAACATTCAGCTAAAAGGGAAATAAATCAGAATAAAGATATTGGAAATAATTTAAAGAAGGATACTCCTAATTATAGAAAACTCCTAATTTAACTGTTTGATTTCCGTCCTTTCTGATTGACATCGACTAGCTATCAAAACTAAAGAAGTCTGCCAAGAGGACCCCGCAGATCCAAGGATTACCAACCACAGTCAGCCAAGCGGTGTGAGAAGCCGAGCTGAAGACTTTTTAGTAATTTACTTATTACTTATTTATTTATTTCCTTATGATTAAATTACCCATAGTGCCCCTATTCAAACAGGAGCAAGCATGTAATTGTACTTCTTATACTCCCTTACCTATAAATAAGAGGGTCATTTCTACAGTAAAAAACCAATCAATCACGGATTAAATCTTTATCAATTTTACTCTATTGAGTGTTCTCTCTCTCCTGCTTTATATTCTACTCTTTGGGTGTGATTTACAAGACAGAGTTGTATTCAATATATGCATGTATATTCCTTTCAGTTTTAAATTTTAATCATGCCAAATTTATCTACTTCAGCGGTTGATAGAGACTTCTTACTCAATGCACATAGGGAATAAAGCACCTGAGGATTTGGCAGTATGATATTGCATTCTTTCCACAAGTAAACATATATTCTTTGTTTTGAGCAAAATTTTCCCTCTCAAATATGAAGCCAAAATGCATTTACAGAAAATGAAACAATACTCAAACGTAATATAAGGTTAGATATATGATTGTATATTTCCACTTTAGAAAAGATTGATCAAAAGGTATTTATGTGTCAAAAAGCTTAAAATTTGCTACATCAATATTTGACTACTATTTCAACCATAGGAAATTCTGAGTATGTGATATTAAGTGGCATACCTAAACATCACCTCTCTGCCTTTTCCTCGAACCAAAACCTACACGAGGGCTCTCACTTCTTCTCCATGCAAGTCTCCTTTGCTGCTCGTTTCCAGTGCGCACGAAAGACAGTTGCTATAGTTTTTTAAGAAGTGAGATTTTTTAACAGTAAACAAAGCATCTTTTTAAAATATAAACAACAATTAACTGAATAACACCTGTCTAGCTCGCTTATCAATTGGTGTCCATGAAGGAATTATGAAGGCCGAATCCATCTTATCGAGATCCCGCGGACTTGGTTGCACCCTGGTTAAGTTCTTTCTCTCATTCACGGTTCCCTGGACATTTTTGTTGCCTCCTTGGTACCTGAAACTGTCGATAATTGATGGGCTTTTTTTCTGACAAACAGCTTTTCTTTTCAGACTCCCCGGGCAACTTAGGCACGTGTTGCATGAAAACTGTTGATGCATTTTGCTCCTCTCATTTGCCTGTCCAACAGATTCGATAATGGATTTTTGGCGGTATTTTTGTTGAGAAGGCTGACTTACAGTTGAGCGAAGAAATTCACCAAGATATGGAACTCCTTTTGTCTTATTCAGCAGTCCAGGGGTATATTTCTGATTTTGATGTAAGAAATTTTTCCTTTTTGTAATCAATTCTTTGTTAAATAATGAACTTTTATATTTTTCGGATTCCTTCTCCGAGCCATTTTTCTTGCAAAATTTAGTCAAATCGTTTTCAGAACAGTTGATTTCAGCAGACGTCGGAAATGTACGACTTTGGCCACCCAAGAATCTGCTCGAAGAAAGAAAGCTCTCATCCATTGGTTCAGATCTTAAGTCTGGTGTCCTTGGATTAAATCTGCTTCTTGGGATTGACGCAAATGGCTCATTTAAGAAGTTGCAATTGTAATCAAAAACATCATTGTGGAATTCATCATGTGGATTGCTGTGTCTAAAGACTCTAAACAACGTATCCCCACCAATATTGCTCATCTTATAATTGTTTAATTCTTGTTTTCCTTCCAAAATATTAGCATTGCTGAAAAGCTGAGCCTCTTTCGGTACATCACGAGGCCTGAAAATCTTTGACTGGTATGGCTGGGATGGCTGAGGGATCACATTGCTGCTATGGTATAATTGACTTGGTTCAACATAAAAGGATTCACCTACCAGCATGCCAGGTGTGCCATAACTGATTTCATGTATTTTCTTTTTTCTTTTAGATTGTAGCGTGCCACTAGTATTTTCTGAATCTATGGATGAGCAATCTGTCATTACAGATTTGGATTCTCCTAACTCCCCATATCTGCATAAAGCATTGAAAAGAGATATGCTTCCATGGGGCACCTTATACTTCCCAATAGCCTGAATTCTGCGTTCAGGTGACCATTCAAAGAACTCAACAAGCATGCCACCAGAGGAAAGTATCGAATGTGCGGAGAGTGGATTTATAGAAGGAAACTTTGTTAGAAAGGATTCAGCAATAGATTCTGATTCAGGCATTGCTGAGTGAAGACCTCCATCTTTTGTGCTTGTCATTCTGATACAGTTTAGAATAATGTCATCAGTATTTTCAGGCGTATGTGAGCAGAACAATTGTAAGTTTAAGTCAAGACTTGCTGCAGCTGCATAAAGCATGTCGGATGATTCCATTATGGATGCAAGGAAGTTCCTTTCCCCCTCAAAGATCTGAAAAAAAAAAATCATACAAAAATCAGATATGGATGCCGAGGAAAAGCAGTATAGATTATTAAGAAGTTTGCCTAAAGCTATATAAATACTAAATGTAGTATGTCTTTAGAGAATGAAGAAGCTACTGAATCATAGGCATGATTAGTTTCTTATATCAAGTCAATTCTGATTAGCACCTAGCTTTATGACCATGGATAACTTCAGAAGTTAATGATGGATGTAAATTAGAGGATAAAGCGGAAGATTTTATGATTTTTAACAGAATTTCTACTTGGAATTTTTTATCCTAGAACTTCATCACAACCTCCGTGATATTTCACATATTTCATGAAGTTCCATAGCTCTCCGTGAACGCATACTCCTTGTTCTCTACATTCACGTTCCACATAGAAATTAAATATCTTTGCTATGGATAATGTATAGATGATCAAGCAGAGTGTAGAAATGTCGCTGGTACAAAAGTTTTAATGAACAATGATCTAGAGTAATCTACAAAAACCCTCCAAAGCTCGTTTACCAGTATGCAACCACTGAAGGAAGAACTGAGGGACATCAAAATTTTAGTTGCAATATTCTCGATGAAAGCAGGTATTGCTGAAAAGCTAACTACTGCTTCTGTTTTGTCCACAATATTTATTGCCTCATACCAAACTAGGCAAACAGCAGCACTGAAGATGAGATCCAAAGGAAGATTAATATCCCGCTCCGCAACTTGCACACCGCTCTTTTCTAGTTCCAAAATTTTCTGATAAGAGCTTCTTCTTGATATGATCATATTTTTTTCCAAGTTCAGGGTGTTTACAATTATGACTGTCTCTGGATCTGAACAGACTTTTGCAGTTGTCTTGTTTGAACTTGACAGATAAAGCATGTTCATGGCACACTCATTATCATGGGAGGGATCTGCGTTGAGTACAGGTTCACATGAATTATTACAGGCCTTGTGGAGCGGGAATTGAGTGAAAATCCCTTCAGTGTTCTGATCATTTAAGCAACCTTGTAGATGGGTCATATAGCTTGGGAACCCATTCTGGTAACAGAAAAAGGATATCAAAGGCGTTAGATTGATAATGGCAGTCGGAGAAAAGCAAACTGGTGGAATTCGGCATTGAGCCATCTAGGAGTAGAATTAGTGACATGGTCGCTACTCACAAAACATATTTAATAAGGTGAATCATCTAAAAGCAATACAGTGATGTCGGATAAGATTGTCAAGAACGAAGCCTGCATGATGTTATGTAAAACTAAAGAGTAAAAAGAAGAAAAAAGGAGTATACTAGCAAATGCATTCTTCAATGAGAGAAATTGTGACATTGAAATTGTTTCCTCTCCCTTGTACCTTGATAGTTTGCAAGATGTTACAAAAAATTAAAAAATTTCGAGTGAAGTGGCTGCTATATACATCAATAAAGGAATTTTTGTCAATGAAATTGTATTTCTCTATTCCTGTTAATTTTTATGGATTTCAATCCTCTTTAAAAATAATAAGAAGCCACTGCAGGAAATATGTCATCCTTATGCCAATAGTTAGCAGATTTTTTTCATAAAGCTTCCAAAAAGCCAGTAAAGCTTAGGTTGCTCCATCCCCCAAAAATTCCTCTTCCTGATAGCTTGCAAGATGTTACAAAAAATTAGAAAATTTAGAGTGAAGTGGCTGCTACATGCATCAATGAAGGAATTTTTGTCAATGAAATTGTATTTCTCTATTCCTGTAATTTGTATGGATTTCCCTGCGAGCCCTTCTCCCCACCCACCGAAATCCTCTTTAAAAATAATAAGAAGCCACTGCAGGAAATATGTCATCCTTATGCCAATAGTTAGCAGATTTTTGTCATAAAGCTTCCAAAAAGCCAGTAAAGCTTAGGTTGCTTCATTCAGCAAAAATCCAAAGTAAATTGGAGGCTCTATTCAACAATAACTGTCTGATGAATGAATGTGAAGTGGACAAATCATCAGCCAAAAAAATAGAAAAATACATTGAAATAAGCTTGTTCAACGAACATTTAGTCTAAGATCGAATGGGATTTGCGATCAAAGTTCACTAAAACCCTTGCACATAAAGCAAGCAGAATCAAATGCCAGATCCATCTTATAATACGAGAGAGGCATCTGGTAGACAAACTTATCATATCAAAACGACTTCTTAATTTAGATGAATAAGAAAATGCTAATATGAGCATTCATCAAGTAAATACCGGAAAAATCATGGAATTATTTGAGGCTTCAAAACCTTCACAAAGCGCCTTTGCAACATAATGATTCTCCACATCAAATCTGATAAAGTGAACACAGGGAATACTACCTAAACACGGAAAAATCTCAGATATTATGGATATAGAACGAGGTCCTCCATATTCCAAAATGCTGCTAAACATGTTGAATGGAAAAGATGCTGAAGTGTTCCTGCAATCAAAAACACAAGATTAGTCGCTGTAAGGATATCTAATAACAACTTATGATAGTGATTCAGCTTACAAAAATCCGGAGTAGCGACTAATATGAATAAGGTTACAGTCATAACAGCAGAAGTACATAGTATATGGAAGTAAACAATAAAATAGAATATTTCTCGCATTCAAAACATAACTGTGCTTTATGTAGCACCACATACGGTCATGACTAGAATGTATACATGTGCATATAAATATGAACATTTTTACCGAACACAAAAAATTTGCATTAAGATAGTAAAAAATGAATCGGAAGATGGTCCATATATATTGTGAGGTTGAAAGTATCACAAGTAAATTAATTTTAATAATCAAATATTGAATATAGTGCCACAAAGCACTCAATTGACTTTGTAGTTGAAAATTAAAGCCAAGAGTCTATGGGAATATGGAATAGAACATTCATGAGATGCAAAAGAAATGTACACCTTGACAATGTTTACTATTTCTTTAGAGCTGGCCTCATCCCAACTATTGTGTGCTGGAATGTTTGTGGTAGCAGAGACATTTTACCATCTTGGTATTATAAAATAGTCACCTTACTGGACATTTACAGGAGGATGTACCTTGGTGTATGCTTTTCGCTGATGATATCCTTCTTGTGGATAAGACTAGAGAAAGAGTGCAAGACAAACTTTTATGAAGTCCTAATTTAGAGTCTAAAGACCTTCATTTTAAGTAGATTTAAAACTGAATAAATGAAATGTAATTTTAGTAGTAGTAGATCTAGTGTAGAATTGTAGCAACAAGGAATCAAATCATTAAAAGGAGTGAAAGTTTTAGATATATCGGGTCTCTTGTTAAAAGTGTGATAATATAGATGGAGGTTATTAGTAGAATTCAAGTTCGATGGTTGAAGTGGTTGCATCAGGCCTATTGTGTGATAGAAAAGTACCGCTTAGACTTAAAAGAAAACTTTTATAAGATGGTGGTGTGAATGTTTTATGCCACAGAATGTTGTCCCATAAAAGAGAAGCATAAAAGTAAGGCCAAGTGTTGCTAAGATGAGAATGCTTAGGTGGATGATTTACTTTACACTTAGAGATAAAATGCGAAACGAATATATCCATAAAAGGGCCGGTGTAGCTCCAGTGGTAGACAAGATTGGAGAGAATTATCTTAGATAGTTTGGTCATATTTATAGTCGACCATGTGATGATCCGGTTAGGAGAGTGAATGTTTTAGATTCAACTTATGTTAAGAAAGGTAGAGGTAGACTTAAAAAGACTTGGGCATGTTGTATAAAAAATGATTTTAATTTATTAGAATTAAATGAAAATATGACAATAGGAAACAATGGAGAAAAATGATTCATATAGTTGACCCCACTCAGTAGGATAAAGGCTTGTTTTTATTGTTATTGTTGTTGTTGTATTTTATAATAATCTTATACGAACACAAATAAAAAAAGTTGAGAAGTCTTAAAAAAATATAAGGTGTTTTATGGAGAAAACCTGCAAAGGAAAAAAATCATGTCATTGTCCAAGCTGAAATAATTTATTTTATGAGTTGTATTTTACAAATTGTACGCTTACCTGCAGCTGGAGAAGACAAAATACAACGTAGTTGATATGAAGTGTAAAACATGGCTTTCATATTGAAAACAAGGGAAGCCTTATTTGATGACTTATTTGATCATTCTCATCGTAGATGGAAAACTAGCGAGCAGGAAGGCATGAATTAGTCTTAGCAGCAATGACAGATGTTGAAATTTGTCGAAGGTGGGTGTCAACATCATTAGTGTCCATGAGCAATGGCTTTATTGGCGATGATTGCATCAACCATGTAGCAACTACAAGTTTCAACCTTATTTGTTACAAAAAGTTTCGAGATTATTTGTTATAATGGGTATTAGCCTTCTTGGTATCTATAGGCGTCTGAGTTGAAATTGAACAATGAATGTCAACATTGATAGCAAAATTAAGAGTCAATCATGTTGGCGACTGTAGCTATCAGTTGTTTTAGCGACAATAGGTGTTGGTCGTTTTGGCAACAACAGGCATCAACCATGTTGACAATCACAGGTACCAATTGTATTGAAAGCAATATTGGTGATTACAGACGTCATCTTTGGGAAACTACAACTGTCAGTATTGTTGACACATGTGGATGTCAAACTTGTTAATGATGATATACCTCGACATTATAAGCAATGATGGGCATTGACAATGTTGGCAATATAATTTGTCTGTCTTTTCTGTGATGGTAGGCGTCAGCTTTGGTGGAGTCAGATGGAATCAACCTTAGTGATGATAGTTGGGCATCGATTGTCTTAGCTGTCAAAGTTTTGCACAAATAGGCTGAATACTGAATAGGCTCGATTGTCTTTTCCCTTTGCTTTCGTTCCATTAAATAACAATCTTACAATCTATTTTAGGTACAAAATAAAGTGCATATAATCTATTTTAGGTAACTTAATAATACATATTTCTAATATAAATATTCAGCTAAAATGAAAATATATCAGAATAAAGATATTGAAAATAAGGAAGCTTCTAATTATAGAAAATTCTTAATTTAGCTGCCTGATTTTCATCCTTCCTGATTGACATCCCCCCTCAAATTGATGTTGATTGATCAGGAAGCATCAATTTGCCAACAAGAAGTTGATAACATTGTCGGGACAAAAAATCCTCAAGCCATGAGTGTCGAAGCCTCTGAATGCCGAAGTCTGAAAATGCCGAAGCCTAAAAATGCCGAAGCCCAAAAGTGCCGGAGCCCGAGAATGCCAAAGCCCAAAAGTGTCGAAGCCCAAGAGATCTATGGTTTGTCTAAGCCGAAACCATAAATCTAATAAGGAGTGCCAATTTGCAAAACTTGCAGGTTAGAGCTCATGCGCCTACAATTAACCGCAAATCCATGCGGAATCCTTAAACATCCACCTCTCTCGAATCCCATCCAAGAGTATGACTGATAGCTCATCGTCGAAGCCGCCCATAGTCCTCTAGATCCCCGTGATCAAAGAACCTCACGAAAAGTAACAAACCCTCGACAACAATAACAAAACCGCTCTATCCCCACTCTCGTCAGCCTGTACCGTCCGCTCTAGATCTTGAATAGTAAATCCAATAACCTACATCTCAAATCCAGAGAACAATCTACACAAAACCCTAGAAGAAGGAACATAACTGTACAGCTTCTGATCAGAGACCGGCAGCTAGACGGCGCGGGATAGGTAGAGCGAATCGGTCGAAGATGAAGCAGACGAAGTAGGGGGAGCGAGTGTAGCAACTAGAGCTGCTTATAAATCTTTGAAAGACATTTTTGTTCATTTTGACGAGAAGTTATTACACTCGATTGGATGATCTATATTGAGCCCCCTGATTGTACAGAATTTTCTGAATGTTTTAGCGCATTAATGTATTAGAATAAACTAATCTTGAGTTCGTCATATTCATCTCATTAAGATACTAGTATTAACTATAAATACACATAAAATAAAGGTCTTTTAGTACCTCAAATAGTCTTCTGAAATTTCCAAACAAAGCATTCAAATGCTTGATTTAGGTCTATTTTGATTTAAATTAATACAAATTTAGCATCATTGGGTTAGTCACACCAAGAAACTCCTTTTGACCATAAGTGTTTTAAAAATAGATCGAATCATCAAAGATATTTTCAGAAGTTTTTGGCTTGAATATTTTCGCACGTTGCCCCCTGCTTATTTCCATCAAGAACCATGTTTGAGTGGATAGTTTTTTTTGTCAATATATATCACTAATTATTTAAGAGTTCAAGTGAATGACCCTTCTTCACATTTCATTTATGTTAATTGCTGCATTTGGAGTTAAGTTTAGTTTAGATAAGTATTTTTAAATAACATAAAGCCTTATCATTAGAATATATTTTTCCTTCTTATTCCTTCCTTGTCAATTTATCCACTGCCGACATGGCTGCATCTTTTAATCCTATTATATATGCCCAAACTACCATATTTATCTACTACCGACACTCTACAACATGGGTGCATTTGACAAAAACTGGTGAGGGCGTCACACGCTTTGAGAGTGGATGCAGGACACCCGCACATAAGCAGACAGAGAGTCTGCTTGCCTGGACTGATTTGGTCCAGGCTTTCTTGTGTTGTGGAATGTTGGTAGGCCCTTAGGCTCAATCCTATTTATCTTATTATTATAAATTTATTTTCTTGGGAATATAGGGTAATTTTTTTTCGGGTTTTTGTTCAGGACAACAGTCAACATCCACGTGTTCCCTCCTATGATTTTGTCTGAGTGTCCAATGGTGTTCTGATAGTAGCTCACTTCTGAGGTGGCAATTATCTTCGTTACCCCTTTCCCCATTCTCCCCACATCGTTTACGGACTCCCCTTCCCTGCTGCAGCCACCCGAAATAGCTGTCCTGGCTATTTCTTCATGCAGTTTTCTATATTCCAGTCCTTGCCAGCCGGTTTTCTTATTGTTGTTGCCATCCAAAACAACAAGGAGTTGTTATCCCTGCCTTTTCCAGCCTTCCCAGCCACAGTTACCCCCCTTCCAATGCACTTTTGTCTCCAAAATCTGGTCACTGCCCTCTCCCTCCCACTTGCTTCCATCTTCCAGAACTTGCGCCCTACCCCTTCACAGTTGTTGTCATCTTCCAAAATCTCAACTATCACATTATCCCTTGTTCCTAACACCCTAAACCACCCACCTTTTGTTGTTGTTGCTCTAGACTAGCCAAATCTTGGTTGTCGTTGCTCAGGACGGCTCTCCCGCATCAATTCCAACCTTCCCATGCCCTTAAAGATCACAACGACTACTTTGGAATACAACCCTAGTTGAGTTCTGTGCCATGTTTGTTGTTATTTCTCATTCCAGTATGTTGGTTGTACTCTCCTAATAGTTTTGCAGTAATACTATTTGTTTTCTTATGTTTCTTAGGGTTAGCTCCGGTATCATTTCGTATCAAGCTAACTTAACCCTAGTCCTAACCTAGCGCTATCTAAGCCCCCCTACCTAACCCAGAATTTTTCTTTCCCACCTGACATCACTCCCATACACCCTATTCCACCAACCCACACCCAAACCTTAATCATGTTACCGAGGAAACAAGTGTCGAATGCTGATCAAAAGTTCATCATAGAAGAAATGTAGTTGCAACTCTACCGAGAGCTACAATGGATCAATGAAATTGAGGGTAAGACCCAAGGAGAGGTCACCGCCGATCATGATAGAGAAACCCAAGGAGGAGAGCAAGAATAATATCTAAATCCTTTTTCATATGAATGATTTCAATGAAGAGGAGAATCAAACACAACGCTTCGAGATTCACTATCAGAGGAGGTCTAGAGAAGAAGTGTCTGTTGAAGAATACAGAGACTTATGAGTGAAAATGAATATACAGGATTTCGAGGGAAGAATGAATTCAGATGAATTCATTAAATGATTGTAAACTGTCGAGCTTTGAATACAAAGAGGTACCATATGACAGACGGGTGAAACTCGCTGCCATCGAGTTGAAGAAAAACACCACGTTGTAGTGAGAGAATCTAAAAGGAAGAGGAAGAGAGAAGAGAGAAGATCGAGATAAGATCACTACCTAAGAGAAAATGAAGAAGGCAATGCAACACAAGTACCTACCCGTTATTACATGTTATCATGTTCTTGAGGCAACATCAATGAGTGATTACCACATCTTATATGAAGAGTTCAATCTTAGGATCAAGTAGCAAGACTACACCCAGTCGAGCATCCAAGCTAACCCTGCCTAAAGAGAAACTATTCCCAAATCTGTCCTCGACAGAAAATGCATTAAGTGTCACGATTTTGGGCACAGTGCATCAGGTTTCCTAAACAAGAGTGCGATTTAATTCAGTGAGTATGGAGTTGTTGAAGAAATTGATAATGACACAATAGACACTAAAGAAAGTGAGGACACAAATAAGTATCAGCTTCCAACTTATGAGGGAGAGATGCACGTAATTGAAGATGAGCTCGTGAGAGAGACTCCAACCTAATTAACATTGGTTGTCCAAGACGGTCGTGAGTTTAAGGAACCGAAATCAAACACATGACAATCCCATATAAGAGAATTTCAGACTTTTGAGATGAATAATTTACTTTCTGAGTTTCCCCCACTGAGGGTGCTCAGAAATATAGATGAGAATCTTCTGTGCCACTTTTGGAAGATAATATGGAGTCATTTGAGTGTTAAAAATAGTTAGCGGTGTACCCACTGACAAATGATCAAACAGGAGGGGTGAACTAAAGAGTTAGAAATCGCCTAAGAAGTTTTGCGGAAAAGAATATTCTACAATGGGATCTAGGTCCTTCTAGAGAAGCCTGATTGGTTGTTATTAAGAGGTGCCCAGCATGTTATAGATTTTGTCTCAGAATTGAATCCTCCTTACATACTTGTTTATCAAATACACTCAGACGAGTACTAATAGTGGAGGAAGCCAATTACAAATTTAATGTCTTGAAGTTTAATTTGTGAGGATAACCATCCACATGTAATTTCAGTTCTGGTTGTGCTATAAAAGGACATATCCCTATTCTATCAGGATGTGCTTAGGAATGACATCGTTTACATAATTGACTTAACAAGAGATTATGCCTTTTCCACTACTTCAACTGGGACAACTTGACACTATACTATGAGGAGATTGAAGCTTCTATGGATGAGGACGAAGCTCCTCCAACCCCAGGATACCGACGTGGCATCTCCTACTACTGGTGTGGACGCGGGACTCCCGCACATAAGCAGACGGAGCATTTGCTTGCCTGGACCAGTTTGGTCCAAGCTTTCTTGTGTTGTCGAGTGTCGGCCGGACTTTGAGCTCACTCTTATTTATCTTAGGATCATAAATTTGCTTTCGTGGGAGTCTAGAATTTTTTTTTCTTGTTTTCTGTTCAGGACTTTCATCAGTGCCCCTGTGTTCCCTTCTAGGGTTTCATCCGAGAGTTGAGTGGTGCTCTAACTGTATCTCGTTATTGAGGTGGTGATTACATTCCTTATCTCCTTCCGCATTCTCCCCACATTGCTCATGACTGTCCCTTTCCTGTTGCAGTCACCTAGAACAACTGTCTTGGTTGTTTCTTCCTGCAGTTTTCTATCTTCTAGCCGTCGTCATCTGTGTTTTTGCTTGTTGCCACCATTTAGTATGGCAAGAAGTTGTTGTCTTTTCCTTTTCCAGCCTTCCCAGCAACCACTCCTCACTTTCCAACGTGCTGCGCACCAAGAATGTGCGCCCTACCCCTTCCCACTTGATGCCATCTTCCAAAACTTCCACTATCACATTCTCCCTTGTTGTCAACAACCTAAACCACCCAACATTTTTTGTTGTTGCTCTGGATCAGGCACATGTTAGTTGTCGTGGCTCGAGGCAGCTCTCCCACATCAATTTCAACCTTCCCACGCCCCTAACGGTCACGACCACCACTTTGGAATACAACTTTAGTTGAATTTTATGTCGTATTTGTTGTTATTTCCTATTCTAGTGTGTTGATTGTACACTCTATTTACTTTTCAGTAATAATATTTGCTTTTTTATTGTTATTTGGGTTAACTCCAACATCGCAAACTAACCACAATTTAAACATAGGACATCAATAAGATCGCTTATAAGATCTCACCATCTTGCATGAGTTTTGTAATCAAATATTTTATTATTTTAAATGCAAGGTGGAAAAGTACAACCACGACTAATCCCATTACCATTCAAAATAAGCTAGTATATCTTTATGCAAATATTTTTGCATTATTTCGCCTTCTGGCATTTTCTTGTTGACATTACTGCCACATTCACGTTCACTCACGTTAACATCTTTACTTCTTTCATATTTATCATTACAATATCACAAGCATTTCAACTCCTTATCCCACTCTCAAATCAATCCTCCCCAACATCAGTTACTCCTCAAGCTACAACACAGATTGTTTCCCTTATTGATAATTCACCGCCATCAATTCTGGCGTCCACTATTTGCCCTACAAGTTTTTCTCTCATTTCAAAGCATATGGAATTGTTATTTCTGCTTACTACTTATGCTCCTTGATCCTTTGTTAAAGCTATTGGCGAATGAGGGTTTCATTTCAACGCTCTATGTTCATCGATTTCTTTTTATTTTCTTTTCAGCAAGAATTAAACCATCCTCAATATAAGTAAACATTCACTTTCCATGGTAAAAATATTATTGTTTACACTAAAGCTGAACTTTTTGAGCTAGCAATTTCATACTCTTTCGTTATTATGGGCAAGTTTTCATCATAACAAAAATAAAACTATAATGAGGAAATAATATTTTACCGAAGGAAATGAGAATCAGAAACTACATAAGAGATTCAGATAAAGTTACATACACTGAGGAAGTATACCAAAACACAGAAGGAAATAAGATTTAGGAACTGTTCAAAGGATTGATATAAAAGAAAGAAGGATAAATATGGAACAAAACTAAAACATGTAAACCAAAACGTATTTTCATGATAAAGACATTACTTACTCATAGGATAGTAATAAGCAATCTGAGTGCGATAATTCTTCCAAAATAGAATTATAAGTTGTACAGTTATCCAGAATGTCCAATTGTTCTTCAGGACATGGATTTCTAACTTCATTAAATGATATATTCAAACTAGTGAGCTTGTGTTTCAATGAAGGCCAAAACACTTCATTAGATATAATTAGTGTTTTTTTAAATCCTTTAGAAGCATTTGACCTCAGAAGGCCTTCAATCAGAGAAAGTGATGGATGTGATTCAAGAATTTGTTTCTCAGCTTTCCAAAGTGCGTCTTGAAGCAAGGACTGCAAAGGCTGTAACCTCTCTGCCAGGTTGTCCACTTTACTCGAACAGCTCACATAGAGGTAAGCGATGTGGATCCCAAAGAAGCATAAGTAGTAAGCCAGTTGTTTTAGTGCATATATTGCAAGTAATGCAACGAAAGGTTCATCTCTAGCTCCCAAAGTACATCGGCTTCCACCTTTCTCTGAAATTAACTCCAACAGCCTTCCCTTGGGAATGCTCAATAGCTCCATTGGAGTTGATAATGAACTATTAGTTATCAAATGCCTGCAGTTGTTTAAGTTTGAAAAATAGATCCCTTTTATTTGATCAATAAGGCTTAAAGTATAACCTGATAAACTAGCTTTATGGAGCTCAATCTTTTCAATATTTGATGCTGAAAAAAGCGATGTTTCAGATGGCCCCTCTAGCTCATCCCCTGAAGTGATCCTGATACTAGGCTTATTTGCACTCAAAGTTTCAAAGCAAGAAGACACCTGAACACCTCCTTTTCGTACACCTAAGAAGAAATTGAGATCATTAGACTGTGAAATTGACTCGAGCACCAAAGAAATATTGGCTGGATTTTTCTTCGGAATTTGCTTTGCACCGTTAGGCTGTTTATTGTCATCATTAACTTTCTCAGTAACAACAGTATCAACTGCTGGGACCACATCATCGTGACTGTTTTGATGAACATCCGGAAGTTCTTTACACTGTGCTGTGCTTGACTCAACCAAAGAATCATCCAAGAAATCAAAATCAGAATGCATGAAAGAGTCATATTGGGATATAAGCTCCGAGGTTTCAATCCTATAACTACTTACTTCTTGCACCATGGACAAGAAAGTTGAACAAGCTTCATTGTTACAACCCCCTTCCAAAAGAGGATGCCAATCCAAATATAATTCATCACTGACAGAAAAAGTGTGTGGTTTGAGTGCATTAAAGATATCTTCCACAATCCTCGATTTTGATTTCAAAACTCTATCATCACTAAGAATTGGAGCAGGCAAAAATTTAAATGGATCATCAGTGAGAGAAAGTTCCGAAGTAAGGACTGAATCATAAAAGTTTTCTATTTGCCCTACTTCTTCTTTGCACATCTGCTCAGAAAATCCTTCTTCCTCCACTGATTCAAAACTGTTAAACATATCAGGCACATTAATAGTTCCATCTAAAACCTGTACTTCTTCAAACTGAGCTAAGCATGGAATATGTTGAGAACTTTCATCTGATACCGTCTGATATATTACTGATTGCTTCTCAAAAAGAATGCAACCATTGAGATTAATCAAATCCAACTCTAATAAAGAATTCAAAGGCAGTAATTTGTTGTCAAGGTCATATTCAGATACTTCTTGATTCAAAAAATGCTTTAAAAAATTGTCATTAGTGGTTCCGAGAAAATCCTTTGCATTGACTACCAACTCATCATCATTCTTCTGAGGCATTTGATAAGCTAGGAGATCATTGAATATTTCATCCATAGACATGCTTTCATGGATCCCAAAAACACTTTCACCAATTTCAAAAATGGGTAATTTAATATCATGCCAACGCTTGTCTTGTGAAAACTTGCCATCTTTGGCTGAAAAGTTTTCCTGACCAAGAATCAAAATGTCTGGAACATCTTCAATAAGACAGAGCATTCGTTCAACCTCAAACGGAGTTGCTATTGATATTTCCATTTTAACATCGATGAAATCCTAGGCATGCAACAACTTCTCCATTAGAAAAAAACATTATTTCATAACAAAGAAATAACTTTACTGAGCTAAACTATATAAATAAGATAGTTTAATAAATTTCTGGTGAATATTTATTCAATCTTTCCATATTTTTTTATCATTTAAGCAAAGCTAGAAACCAAATTAAAAGCACAGTATACCAAAAATTTATAGGTTGAGTTATTGGAAATTGAATGAGTTTGGTTTTTTGAGTTCATCCCCCGTCCAAGTATTACAAATAGTAGATTAATAAAATGCATAAGCTTTAAGCTAATTAAATGACTCCTTATCTAATAATAGTGCAAGTTAAGATTTCCTGCTATTTTGCTTGTAGTAGCCATTTAAAACAAAATTAAAACACAAAATCAAATACTTCTCTCAGTATGCTAGTATAGGAAATCACTTTTTAAGGTTTAACTGCTCTATATATTGGCCGCCTTGAAGCACATTGTTGAAATTTAGAATAATGCGGAATAAGGTGGAATACTTTGGAATCACTTAATTTCATTGATATGAACGGGGTTATAAATAACCCTAGCAAGAATTATAATAGGAAAAATAATAAAAAATAAAAGATATATCACCCGATATCTCCAATAATTAATTCATATTAATTATTATGAGATACTAGGAAATAATATAAAATAGGAAAACAAATAATTCCTAATATATGAAAAGAAAATATCTCCTTATATTAAGGAAAGAATTTATTCCTCATAACTTTTTCTAGGAATAAATTATTTCCTATTATAAGTTTTAACAGGAAATGCAATAAATCATGTAATTTAAATTAGATATTTCAACACACACATATCAGAAATCCAAAGGATTTAAAACATTTATTGAATTGGACATCTATAAGAGAAGACATACCAGCGGAACACTAATTCCATGGATCTCAAAGAATAACATATCCTCATTGTCTTCACAAGAGACTCCCAACTGCCATTGTTAGAAAACATAAGAATTAACTATGTAAATAAAGCATTAACAAAAATAATTAAACAAGATGTCTAACTCCTAGAAAAGGGTAACACGATACCAGGGGAAACTCCTCCACCTCAGGTATCTCAAACTGGAGAAAAGTCTGCCGTTTCCAGGCCCCAAGACACGACATGAGGAGTAAGACATCACATACAAATATCAATTAAATCGAATGATCAGCATTAACATAAGTTTCGTACCTCTGGCAATATATGATTAAAAGCAGCATACTCAATATCCAAGATATCTTCAACTTCCATCTCATTGTAAAAGGAACCATGTACTCCCTTCAAGGAAGTCAAGGTCAGGATTCTCCATAAAATAACTCGGTTTTGAAGGATTAACCAATGACATTGACTATTTTAAGAAATTACAAATTTCAGAACAGAGGGCCTCAATTTCTTTCAATACTGAATCATAGATAAATGGAATTCAATAAAATAACCATCTGAGAACAAAATAGAATCCGTTATTTAAAACTTTAGATGGCTGAGTCACCTCAATGCATTTCATCTCACATGACGCATATCCGATCTCCTCATTGTTGTTCTCGGAGGACGGATTAAACTGACTCCCAGTGCTGCCATGACTGGATCGTCTTCCTTCCGCATCAAGGAACCGGGGGATGACATCGGATAGGAAGTCAGTAATAGCTTCCTCAAATGGAAACCTATCGATTTCATGTTGCACAGAGCGATCTGGAACTAATAATGGGATCTCTACCCTATGGAAGAGATCCGGAGAGAAGAAATTTGGAGCTGGAAGGGGGATGACTTGGAAATCTTTCAATGATTCGGTAGTCGACGGAGCAGAGAAGTAATCGGTAGCTAGGAAGCGAGTTCTCATGCTTACATCGATCAATGCCGCCGGAAATCGACGTCTAACGGCGTGGCAGGGAGAGGGAGATGCGTGGAGGCGGATGGACAGCAGTTTCGAGAGGAGTGCTGAGTTCAAACAGGCGCCTCAAGCTGCGTTTTATAGACGTTGGCAGCACATGGCTCTGAGGACATTTACGTACATACCACCCAATTTCTATGTATTTACAGAATACACCTAAGTTTTATTCTGCCCAAAATTTCCACATCACATAAGAAAATATCACTATTTTGACTTTAAAAAAATTGAATATTTTTTTTTTCATGCATAGAGCAGATGACATGTAAGTGTATATATATATAAAAATTGAAGTTTAGTTGTTAGATATATAAATACATAGCAATTAAGTAAAATGTATGTAAATCTTTATTGAAATGTAAGTTTGATGTCTCAACTTTGTCCCTTAAATTTCAATCAAAGCTATAAAGCCCAACTGTAAGATAATTTGAAACTCCCTGAGTATCTCGAATTCGAGTAATTTTTAGCATATTCTTAGTTTGATTTAATTCCAATTGAAATTCCCGAGTAGCAATATTCGAACACTTAAATATCAAAATCTATAGAAATACAAGAGCCAATATTTTAATCGAGTGCTTCTCTAAGATGAACTCTCACAAGGATTTGCCCTTATATGGAATTTATATCCCATAATTAAAAAAAAAACTATCCTACCCAAGCTCTTTGGTGAAGTAGACCGTGTTATTTTGTGATTAAATATATTATCGGGTAATAATTTTGTATAAAGTTTAATTATTATATAAAGTATATTTTTAGATTAATTTTTAATTTTATATTTATGTTATTAATATATATTTATTAATTAGTTCATATTTTATTATTTTTTAATCATTAACGTTTATAAGTTCACATTGTTTCTATCCTTATATTGCATCATATAAATTTTATTTCTAATTACATGACAAAGAAGATGTAAAAATTTTTAATATTTTTTAAGGAGTGTTAAAAAATGTTGTAGTTGTTTGCAAGTAATGATAGATTGTGAGATTATTTTGTGTCAGCATTGAATGTGAAGTACTTCATTATCATTATCAACTTACATATTTTTTTAGGGAAAATATGTCTGCTCTTTGAGAGTTTTATTTTATTTTATTTTTTTTTAATTGACAGCTCAAAAAATAATTGTAAATGTGATAAAAAAAAGATTGCATATTTTTTAAAAGAACTACTACCAAATTTTGTATTCATCAAAAATCATAGTATATGTATTCAATGTGAATCAATCTTGTCAATATTAATGATCATATAGTTTAAGAAATTATAATAATTTTTTTTTTCTCTTGATTAAATTGATCTTCCTTATAGTGCAAGGAAATGTCATCTTTCTTCTGTCTTGTCAATTCAACAAGTAAATTTGATTGTATGATTTTGTAAAGATGAGAAATTTTGATATCATATGGTACAATGCACAACATCTTACCATTGAACTAGTACTAGCTAAAGTATTTACTTCATTTATTAGATTTATTTGTTATTGTATCATTTTAAAATGATTGGGCAACAATAATATGATATCATTAATATATTATGTTGATTTGTTAGTTTGGCTAAAAATTGCCTAAAAAAAATTTGTTACAATAAAAATTAACATAGAGTTAGAAAAGTGAGTATCAGTTTTTTTTTTCATTCTCTTTTATCATACTTGATCTAGATATCATTTGTTTTTCTCAGTGATATACAATTTATGAAATGTTTCACATTATGAATCATTTTGTACTATTATTTCCTTCAAATTTTTTCTTATTGTTTTCAAGTTTATTCTTTTATCTCAAGGCCAGTTTGTGACAGATTTCTGTCTGCTTTGTTTTTCAAACCGCTACCACGGTTCTGTTTGGGCAACTGCTTTTTTTGCTATTTTTTTAGAAATATTTGTGATAGAAGATATTTTTTTTCAACCTGAGTTGTTAAAGTATAGTGACATCTAAAAATGTACAATTTGACTTTTTAAAAATTAAATAAAATTGTAATCGTTATCGTAGCTTTTTGAAAAACAGATTCTTCTATAGCTGTTTCTTCAAACAACTGCAACAGCCTCAAACAAATCTTTTATAGACACTAGATGTTACTCATTTAGATTTATTAAATTTTTTTTTGAAATTATGTTCACAAAAAATGTACAAATCAAGTTCAAATATTAAAAAATTTAAATAAATATGTTAAATCCTAATTTATTTTCTTGTGGAACACATGTCAAGAGTTAGAGCCGAGAGAGCTAAAGTGAGAGGGGAAAAAAGAGATAAAGTTGAGGAATGTAAGAAATCTTTAAATATCAGAATTTTCAGAGAGGGTCTAAAAGATTCCTTTATTGATGTCACAGCCTCCTATTTATAAGGGTATAAGAATATAAGTACATGTAAGGAAAGAACACTTTCCATGATTGTTTGAATGATTGAATTCAAATTACATGGTAATAAAAATAAAATTGATGCATAGTAAATCGCCCAAAGTCTTGAGGTCGACCAATTGTGTTGGTCATTCGTTGTGTGCAGGCATAGTTCGATCATATCTTCTTCTTGGAAATTGGGTCATTTGACCAGGGTGTGCGGACCTTCACTGCGGTTTCATGATCAGTAACTTTGTCGGTCGACGGATTGCACTAAAAAGATTTCATCGGTTTGCTATGTCGATTGACTGAGTTGTAGCTGTAAAGCCGATCAACTATTTGTTGTCGACCCTCTAGTACCTACTTTTGCTTATTTATTGTTGATTATCTGATTTCTTTGAGATTTGTGCTAACATATTCGCAATACACATATTAATTTCCTGATTTTTCTGCTCCTTGATGGTGATAGCTATGGTAAGGACAAAAAATTTATTAAGCAGTAAATAGTACAAAAATCAAGAATATTAATTAAACAATCAATTCTCCCTTGTTTTTCATGCCCAATGAACCTTATAAATAGAGCTAGAGGCTTTGTGCTTTCCTTTTCTTTATCTACGCTTTGAGTCTTTCGATTGATACCATGGTTGTTGGTTTGAGTAAAAAGGAAGTGGACGTTCATCTTCTAGCTTTTGAAGGCTTTCGGCCTCCTGCATCTTCTATAATGGAAAAGAAGAAGAGAATTATTAAGAAAAAGAAGCGAATGACACCCAATTCTAAGCCACTCGAGAATGTTGCTTCTTCTGACGGCTCTGATGCTTGACAACTGAAAAGGACGTCGATGGTGGACCCTTGTCTATCTAGTGCGGTCGTTGAGGAGGTTGAGCTGGTCGCTCCTCTCATCGAGGTCGGTCAAGTGGGAGCGAGAGAAAAGTCTACAACCGATCAAATTACATGGTAATAAAAATAAAAGTGATGCATAGTCAATCGCCCAAAGTCTTGAGGTCGACCAACTGTGTCGGTCATCCATCGTGTGTAGTTATAATTTGATCATGTCAGTCGATCGTATCTTCTTCTTGGAAATTGAGTCATTTAGCCAGGGTGTGTGGACCTTCACTGTGGTCTCATGATTGGTAACTTTGTCGGTCGATTAATTCCATTAAAAAGATTTCATTAGTCTACTATGTCAGTCGACTAAGCTATAGTTGTAAAGCCGGTCAACTATTTGCTGTTGAGTTATATGTTCTACCCTCTAGTACCCACTTTTGCTCATTTATTGTTGATCGTCTGATTTCTTTGAGATTTGTGCTGACATATTTGCAATACACATATTAGTTTTCCGATTTTTCTGCTCCTTGATGGTGATTGCTACGGTTAGGACAAAAAAATTATTATGCAGTAAATAGTACAAAAATCAAGAATATTAATTAAACAATCAACTCTCCCTTGTTTTTCATGCCCAATGAATCTTATAAATAGAGCTAGAGGCTTTGCGCTTTCCTTTTCCTTATCTACGCTTTGAGTCTTTCGATTGATACCATGGTTGATGGTTCGAGTAAAAAGGAAATGGACAACCTTCTAGCATTTGAAGGCTTTCAGCCTCTTGCATCTTCTATAATTGAAAAGTAGAAGAGAATTGTTAAGAAAAGAAGCCAATGACACCCAATTCTAAGCCAGTGGAGAATGTTGTTTATTTTGACAGCTCAGATGCCTGACCACTGAAAGGACGTCGACGATGGACCCTTGTCTATCTAGTGTGGTCGTTGAGGAGGTTGAGTGGGTCGCTCCTCTCATCGAGACTAGTCAAGTGGGAGCGAGAGAAAAGTCTACAATCGATTACACCCCCCACCCCTCCCGCTGACTTTGTTAAGTAAGGACAGAGATGCCCTGACCCAAGGGAACAAGAGTTTTTATTACTCTTTCTGAATTAGAAAGATTTTTAGGTATGTAGAAATACTTTTTTAAATATTTTTATAGTAATCCCTTGACATTATTCTCAATATAGATGAGACAACAATTCTGAAGACCAAAATTGAGGGAGGGTTGTCCCAGGACGTCGTTGATTCTGCCCAGGCAGTCGCTATCATGCCTTTAGGACCAGTTGTTGCACCTCCTTCCACAGCTGACTAGTATTTCTAGATGTCGATCAATCAATTTAACAGCTCCCAGTAGGAGTGATTGCAGTATCAGCACCCGTCCTCCGCCTTAGTGGAACAACAGATGGCAAAGATGGCTGGTCTTTCGACCTAAGTGGCTGAAAATCCTGCCAAGCATCCATGTTGGAGTGTTTGGTTCATTGCGAGCATCTAGAGGTAGCGATCGCCACATTTCAACGAAGGTCAATCGACATTACTAAGCTGGAGAAGGAGGTTGCGTCGCTCTAGAGATCCATGCAGAATGTGTGTGCTAAGTTAGGGCCCATTCGTAAGTTGACTGACCTGAGCAGATTTCATCAAGATGTTGACCGAATGAGACATATTAAGTTTGGTGGAGAGATGATATTCCAGAGGATGCTTCAGAAGGGGTACACCACAATTGAAGCGTCATAAGATCCTTTTATAGTTTTTTTTTTCGTGACCTGTAATGATGTTATTTGTAATAAAATAATACTTAAATATGTGAAATGATGTTTGGTGTGAACTTTTATCATTAAGTGATACCTCAATTTCCACACTCACTATATAAATAGGGTTATGGGCTGCGTTTTATCTTTTATGCTTTATGTTTTTCTTCTCAGTGTCTTTTGATCCTTTCCCCTTCATTTCATCTTTCGATTGTTTCATTGGTCTAACATGATGGCTCCCAAGTATTCTCCCATTCTCTTTGGTTTCTCTATCATTGCGGATGCCTCAATCTTGACATGGGAGATGTGAAGGAGATGCAGGAGCGGTACATTTTTTATGATAGTATCATGCTTCAAAATGTGCCGAAGTCTATACACACGACAGATGATGTTAGCACAAAGTTGGTCTTTTATCGGGATCAGTTCAAGTATGGCCTTTGACTACCCTTATGTGCCGAGCTTTGGAATTTTTTTTTATTAAATATGGAGTTATTCCAGCATAAGTTCTGCCAAACTCTATTGTCGCGATCATGACCTTGGTCATTTTCTGTCGTCGGGAAAGCATCCCTTGGTGGATTGATATGCTTAACCATTTTTATTTGTTTAAGGTTGACAAGGAAGGCTTCATTATGTTTTCGGCTGACAAGAATGTCCAATTACTTGGAGTTGAAAATAAGATAATGGATTGGAGAAAGAAATTTGTGATTGCTTCTTGCTCAGGCGACTAGGGAATTTTGACCAAGTCGAAGGGCCCAACGTGGGACAAGTTAAAGTCCATCCTGAAGGAACTGCATGTTGTCAAAATAATGTTGAAAGGGCACCAACTTTCGGTTCCTCAATATACCGCTAAGAAGACAGTCACCCAAGTGCTAAAGGGTGTATTCATTCAAGATTTATGGCTAGTTTTTTATGCTATTGAGGCCACCCGGTCGAAGGCAATAAGAGAAAACCTGGCCTCCAAGCAAAAAAAGCTGAAGCTCCCCTCGACAACAGGTACTTTCATAAAAAAATCCGAAAAAACTGTTTTGAAAGATTTACCCCTTGGTGTTGTTGCCTCTGCGATGCCCGACACCAATGGTGCAAAATTTTTTACTTATGTGTCTAAGACCACAGTCATTATTCAAAATAACGTGATCGGCGAAGTTACTATTATTGCTAGATCTTGTTCAATTGATGTAAGAAAAAAGATGTAGGAAAAAGCGGGGGAAGGAGGTTTGAAGTTCATGAAGGAGTTCTGAAGGAGTCGAGGCTCCTAGTATTTCCTCTCTTCAGTCCACTCAACCATCTATGACATGCTAAAACAATCGAAATCCCTGACATCTTTTGGCAGACCAAGCAAAAATGTTTCGATGCTTGTAAAGAGTCTGGATCAGCAAATTTTTATGACCTGCATCAAAACTTTCACTTATTAGAAAATTTTACCAGATTCATTGCGAACGGTAGTAGACACTTCAAGCATGGTCTCGCTGGTCTTGAGATCCCAATTCCTTTAGATCTGGATACCGAGCCACTCGTGCTCCACGTTGGTGACCCCTCAAAGATAACAGCTCGTTGATTGTTCCAGGTTCTCCAGACGGTTATAATTTCTCTGTTGTTAGGGAACTTTACATCCACGTGGTAAGTTGAAACCACCGCACAATAGTTTATCAACATTGGTTGGTCAAACATGACGTTGTAGGTTGGCAGGGATTCAACTACCTAAAAGTTGTCCTTATTGGTGTACTGCTTTTTACGCTCTCCCCACCAGATGCCTAGTGCGATGAAACAAAAAACTTCTTTTCTTTTGCTAGAGAAGCCAAATAGTCGGTTAGTTGGGGTTGTCAATCAATCAGTTTTGAGGTCAATTTTATCGAACACCATCTTGAAAAATATGTTCACTAAACTCCCAATGTCTACCAGGATACTGCCCACCTGGTTGTTGTTGATTTGGGCAGCAAGGACGATCACGTCGTTGAGGGGATTTCATTTCGACGGGAGATCTACATTTGTAAAAATAATAGGAGGATTGCTATGCTTAAAAGAAGCAACAGAACATACCTTGCCCGACCGATGCTTTTGGCTGGATTGACTAGATATTTCTCTACCTCCCTTGAAGATTGTCGGGATGATTCCGACAACATGCACTTCGCTCTCCTTGACAAGTCCGCTTGTCTGTCAGACGGTTCCTCAATGGGGGATTTTCTCTGTCGTTGTGTCTATTCTATTTGTTGAGTGCCGACAACAACGAACTCCTTCAGTTTCTCGACCTTGATCAATTCTTCCAACAAGCTCCGAAGGTGACAACACTCCTCTGTATCATGCCCATGGTCTCGGAGGTAATCGTAATATTTGTTTGGACTCCGGAGTGCAGATCCAACCTTCATAGGTGGGGCTTTCCTGAAATACTTTTTATTTTGAATGGTTTCTACTAATTCAGCCATTGAGACATTAGCGAGGTTAAATCCTGCATTTCTCGGTGCACGTGGGGTTGCTCAAAATATTGAAGGGCCCACTGATAAGAATTTTGATTCCAACTCCGATGGCCTCGGTTCCCTTGTGGTTGTTGGGCATTGTTGCAATGTTGACAACCATAGGGGTTTCGATCGTCCTTCGACCTCTGTTCCTCATCTCAAGCCTCCCTCTTCTTTAACCGTGGGTCAATCGACGCCTTATTAGCTAGAGAGGAGTCTGTGGAGGATTCCTCATCGATGATATGACTGTTGGCCATTTCTGGCATCTCAGAAAGAGACTTTGGTTCAAGAATATTCAAATCATACTTGAAACACCCATCTCTAACCCTTTGTGCCAGGGTGGTCTGGCTAGGGTGGTATGGGCTATCTTTGACTGAAAATTATGTACTTCTAGCATCTCCGTCTGAAAATGAGAGATGTATGATCACAGGCTCTCGTTCTCTCCAAGCTTGATTAGTAGCAGAGCCTGTGTTTTTTTCACCGGCTTCTGTATATCAGCGAAATGCGGTGAAAAAACTTTTTGAATTCGATGGGAGGTCAAAACGATCCTAATCGACAAAGCATGGAAGTAGCGAAGAGCTGATTCCTTGAGTGTCATCAAGAAGAGGTGACATTCACGACATCATCGATCCACAGGATGTCGACCGGTGATTCGAAAGACGCTAGTTGGTCGATCAAATGACTTTTCCCCTTGTAAGAGTCTTGATGGAAGATTCTTAATTTTGCTGATGGGATGACCTCCAAGATCTGTCGATTGAAGACGCTATCAGGGGAGGCCAGACTGGTATGTTGATACGATCCACTCAAGATCCAACCATCGGCGTATATTAGATACTGACAAGTTGTGAGAATCCCCTTCCTCTTTGGTTGTTTGATTATTAATGTGTCTGATCGACGCCGATAGTTGCTCTGGGGGTACCCTCTGAGGTTGATTTCCTTGAGATTCAATCCTTGAGAGTGTAGGCTGATTGTTCTTTTGCAAGATTGTTTGTCGAAGGGCCTCGAACTGGCCCATCATTTGATACCGCAAATCTTGAACATGTCGTTGGATTTCTTGATTCATGGATTCTCTGTTGATTTCCATTATCGCTGGATCTCTTTATTGCGATTCTTCTTCGTATTTGGTTCTGCTTCTTGTTTGTGGCATGTTCACGTTCACTGCACCACATTTTAGGATGTTGATTCTTAATTGTTTTCTTATGGAACACGCCCCAAGAGTTAGAGTCGAGAGAGAGAGAGAGAGAGGAAGAAAACAAAACAAAGCTGAGGAATGTAAAAGCATCTTTAACTGTTAGAATTTTCTCGAGCGGATCCAAAAAGGTTCCTTTATTGATGTAATGACCGCCTATTTATAAGGGTCTAAAAATACAAGTATATGTAAGGAAAGAACACTTTCTATGACTGTCCAAATGATTGAATTTAAATTGCATGGTATTAAAAGGCGACACATGATCAATTGCCCAAAGCCTTGAGGTCAACCGACCGATACACATCTTCTTCTTGGCAATTTGGTCGTTTGACCAGAGTGTTCGACCTTCAACCTTCACTAGCGGTCTCATGATCGATAACTTTGTCTGTCGACAGATCCCGCTGAAAAGATTCTGTCGATCTGTTATATCGATCGATGAGTTGTAAAGCCGTTCGACTATTTACTACTAAGTTATCTGTTGTGTCGTTCAATACCTCATTTATGCTCCTCTTTTGTTGATCATCTGATTTTCTTGAGATTCAGGCTGACATATTAGTAGTATATGAAGTTAAACTTAAACAACATACCAAAACTCAACACAAACTAAATATAAACAGCTTACATATGTACCAAATCAACTCCAATCATTAATAAACTTCACTCTAGTGGGCTCGATAACAGCCCTAAGTGATATTCAGTATTCACCACAATAAATATTTCATCGTCGCAAGTCCGGTGTGCCCCTTGCATGTCTTCCTCTCTCTACTGTACCGCTCCGTCCTTCGTCCACCTAATGCTGTTGAACGCCGTCTTTCGCCCTCTTTTCTGAGCCCGTTATCCCCAACCTCCATCTCTGGTATGTCGCCCTCTTTTCTGAGCCCGTTATCCCCAACCTCCATCTCTGGTATGCCGCTTCTCCATCAGTTGGCGTCATGAAAAAGAGGTAGTGCATGCTTGGCCGCTCTCCTCCAAATAAACTAATCAGTATGATTCTATAAACCTAGCACCTACCTTCAATCTTAATGAATGGTTCAGATAGGCGCAATTTTACGAATAAGTAATCAAAGGTTTTTCCAACACTACGAGCAACTTGCTGTAAACATTGCCCTAAGCTATCTGAAAAGTTCCATGTGCCTCTTTTCAACTAGTTCTGGGAGATTCACAGAGCATGCGGAGGTACCAGGAAGGCGCCAAAGATCAGAGAGAAAGCCATTGGTGACTAGCATCAATGAGCTCAAACGTAGTGCGAGATTGGACAGGAAAAAGAGGCAGGATGTTCGTGAGATCTTGCTCAGGCCGCCTGAAAACGGGCTGCTTGTAAAGAGATTGATTCCTGTTGCCCATGAGGTATATAATGCAAGGAAAGAGCTCTATGATTGTGTCTCTTCTGTTCTGAAGAGCGTACTTGTTCATGTGTGCAGGTAAATTTGCTGCCTTGTTGCACGGAAAACTTAATGAGTCTGGATTTGTTTTAACTAAAAAAGTTGAGACTCAACTAAGTGCTTTCTTAGTTTCTTAAAATGTTGTTCTTAAGTGGGTTCTGAAGATTTAAGTTCACAGAAACTTGGCGCCTAATCTATTCAATCATTCATAAGCTTCTGCTCTATGCTGCATTATGATTCCTAGATTGGTAAAAGAAAAGAATTTTTTTTGTGTAATTTTTTCGGTTATTTTTGTAATGCTTATATTATGGATTTGTTTAGTTGCCTTAGTTTGCTAATGGATCAATTTCGGAATGTGATTTAAGCTTTTTGAATTATAGTTTGATCTCTTTTAATTAGAACTAATATGCAGCCTGAATTTTGATGTTGTTTGCTGGAATACATTAATATTGGCGGGTATCCATGTTATGAGGATGAAATTTAAATTTATTTATTAAATTTGAGATTGTTAGTAAAAAGAAAACTATGTCCATATACACGTTGATTGGAAAAAAAATTTTTGATCATCTAAAACATTATCGAGTGCTCAGTAGATCGCTGATGAAGAACAACACCCCGATTTCCTACCACCCCAACAGAAGCATAATTATCTCTTAATTCCTCCAAAATGTGGGAGTTTAAAAACAAATTTTGATGATTTATTTTGTTTATCTTAACAAAAAAATATCAGAGCATTAAACTATCAGCAGAAAGCTGTAATTTTGATGATAAATTAGCTTAATGCAGATTTTGTGAGGAAGTTTATGTTGGAGAGTTTCCACATCAAATACGCACATGCGATGTTGCTGGGAGTCTTCCGACAAAGGAGCATTGTTGGGTTCCAGGAGGAATTGAGAATGTGCTTCCAGTGGTTGACTCCTTCCATCTGTATGATAGATTGGGTAGAGCAGTTTCTCATGAGGAAAGGCTTCAAGTCGATAGAATTCCTGCCATTATTGAATTGTGCGTGCAGGCAGGTGTGGATTTATCTGAATATCCTTCAAAGAGGAGACCTTATCCTGTTTATAATATTGCAGGAAAGCTGATCGATTTTGAGCGGAAGTTTCCACGGGACTATTCGAGTGGAAAAGATATTGAGCCGCATGGGTTTTGGTTGAGGAAGAAGGATAACAACCATTGCAATACTCCATTTTTTTTGTCTAATGAAGATCTTCAAGGTTGGACACTTTTCTCAATAAGGCAAACAACTTCTTGGCTCCCCAAAATATGAATGTCAAGAAATTCTTTTTTATTTGTTTTTTTGATAGATTGTGTGATAACCAAATCAGTTTGATTATAACTTGAACCCCTGGTAAGAGCATTTACATCCATACCACACAATACATATATATTTACGAATTTAACACCTAAACTTTTCTATTTAGATGCATAGCACTGGAATCTTTAATATGACATAAAAAATACCACTCTTACTAACTTTATAAGAGTGAAATACAAGTTTTCATGCATAGATTTATGACACCAAAGTATTATAGATGTAAACATAAAACTTTAGGCATTATATATGTAAATACATAAGAATTGTGTCTTTTCACATAAAATTTCTCATCAAGCAACAGCTATAGTTGCATACAAAAGCGTCAACTGCACAAATATGGAGATTCAAAAACATGGAGAACTTCACAGTTTCACTTTTTGAACCAAAGAATATGTGTTCAGTAATGCACAGAAGTGGCTGTTTTATTTACTTGCTTGCGTAGAAAATGATTTCTTGTTGGTCCAAACTATTTGATTCCTCGTATTTTGTTGCTTTATCAACAATGGCATGGCATTAATGGGAGCTGTTATCTAGGGGTGTAAACGAGTGAACACGAGCTGAGCCTAGCGAGCCTAGTCTCAGCTCGTGTTCGGCTCGTTTATATTTCGAGCTCAAAAAGTGTGTTCGTGTTCGGCTCGTTTGCTTAGCGTGCCGAACACGAGGTGTTCACGGACAAAGAGTTATTTTAACAACCCTAATCACATGCCATAAGATGTTAAGGATCGGGGAAATATATAAAAATTATTGTTTATATTAAAATATCATTTGAGTTTAATTTTATAATTTTTATTCTATTTTCTTAATTAATACTTTTAATTGATTATAAATCTTTGTAGCCTTGTAGTCAATTAAAATTTTTAAAAAAACTACTCATCAAATACATATATATATATATATAGTATTTTTTCAAGCCAAAATGAGCCGAACACGAACGAACAAATATTTCTTCGTGTTGTTCGTGTTCGGCTCGCGAACTAGCCAAACACGAGTTGTTCGTGAACAACGAGGCGTTTTGACAGCCCTACTGCTATCTACTGTTCCAGTGAAGTACATATGGAGAGTCTTGACCTTAGACAAACTAATAACTAATGTGAGGGCGCTATATGAAGAGAGAGAGAGAGCGAGAGAGAGAGAGAGGAAGCTGTGT